TAAGAATGGTCACTATCGCACTTCTCTCGGAAAGGGTCCAACCGCCGCACTACGTTACGTTCTGCTTTCGCAACTAGGGTTTGGTCCGCCACACCTGACCAACGAGCTAGGGAAAATCTGCTCTATTTATAGGATTCTAGAGGCTCAGGAATTAATAAAAAATAAGCGTCGTTGAACAGCTCAACCAATGAAAATCTTCCATCTCAAAGGGTCACATGATTTCCTTCTAGAGTTGTGTGCAAGAATCTAAGTGTCGTGTGTAAAAAGTTGAAATACAGAATAAAAAGTCACGTGTACAAAGTGTAGAGCTGGGCGCGTGAAAGTGCATACTTGGTCATCTTTAGTCAATGACTGAAAGTTACAAAATCTGAGGTTTCTGAACATTAGCATTCCAGGGAATCTTACCACGCCCATCCATGCGGCCACATGGAGGGGAATTTCGACATGCCAAAACTGAGCAAAGAAAACACAAGGACAGATGAGTGAAAGAACACATGATCACGCCAGAGTACAGCATGAATAACTTAATACAAACTTAGTGTCTCTGCTACATGTCCATAATGCATAGCTGAGCTAAATAAGAGACCCTGGGAATGCAAGGTACGAGAACGAGTAAAATTAGGGGGCAATAGAATTCCAACAAGCTTTGCAGGTGTGCAACAGTGTCGTATATATGTACATGTATGTATCGTACATGTATGCAGTATTGTATTGTACATGTAACATGTATGTATTGTACATGTATGCATGTATGTATCCTACATGTATACATGTATGTATTGTACATGTATGCAGTATTGTATTGTACATGTATGCATGTATGTATCGTACATGTATACATGTATGTATCGTACATGTATACATGTATGTATCGTACATGTATGCATGTATGTATTGTACATGTATGCATGTATGTATCGTACATGTATACATGTACATGTATGTATCGTACATGTATACATGGATGTATTGTACATGTATGCATGTATGTATCGTACATGTATACATGTATGTATTGTACATGTATACATGTATCGTACATGTATACATGTACATGTAGGTGCATACAGTACATGTACTGGTATATTAACTAACTATGAAGTCAGCCATTTATGCTTAAACTTTTCTGTAAGTTTGAATATTTGCTTTTGTTCTGCAGGTTAGGCATACATGTACTTCGTGAAAACAGGTGTCTTATTTACAACCCAGTGATTAAGGAAAGAAATCATCATTGGACACGCTACACTTTCCAAGCAGGCTTTTACTGGCCACGAACACGTAGGCCCAGCCTTCAGCGATGCCAATAGCATGAACGGGTCCCCAGCTGTGCGTAGGAATCGGACTGCATATGATTACCTGCTGAAGTTTCTCCTTGTGGGCGACAGTGATGTAGGCAAGGGAGAGATCTTGGGCCGACTGGATGACAGTGCCAATGACATAACATTTGGAACTTACACTAGTGTGAATGGTAAGTGATAACCTGTAGAGTATGGCAAAGAATTGGAATTGTAAATGTAAATGTGTATGGTACATTTTACATCTGTATTTGGGAACATGATCTATTTTCTGTATGTATTTATACAATATTGAGACCTTAACGCAAGCTACATGTACATGTACTTGTACATGTGGGTTGCATGAGGACAGTAGTGTGTTTTCTTTGCCATGATCATTGTGTGTGACCATGTCTCCTTAACAGAAATGTGAATGTTTTGAACAAGGCCAGGATTGTCATGTTAATGTTTGGTATTGCACAAAATCACACCAGCAGAATCCACAAATTCACAACCACTCAGTTTAGATACAGTAGATGAAACAGCAAGCTGACGAAGCAGTGAGCACTACAGGTGGTTGAAACACTTAAGTATATGTACATAATGAAACTAAGTCCAAAATGGTGACGTCATGATGCATGATACATGTACCTTAATGTTGCATGATCAGAAATCTATATAACGTCCTCCAACAGGTTAAAATAGGATAAGATGTTCACACAAAGATACACGATCAGGTATGTCAATAAAAATGTCAATCGGAAAGCAAGATACACTAAATGTCATACAAAGAACGATAAAAAGAACATGTGTAAATCATCAGAACATGGCATGTAGTGCACAACTTCACATTTGAAATCTGAGAAACATTCAACGAAAAAGTAAGAATTCGGAAATGTACATATGTTCACAAATGGTTGATAAAACATGACAAAGAATTGCTTGGAGATAAGTGCGAAAAAAATCAAGGATTTAAAAATAAAATAGCAAGCAAATAAAATTTCATCAGCAGCTAAACAAGAGTGTCCTCTTGGTACATGTACATGTACCTCTACGTGTACATGTACATGTGTGTACCGGTACATACCAGGAATTTACTGCAGTGCACACATGTACATGTACTGTACTTGCACGTTTATCAAGAATTCATGTACTAGTATATTTACATTATTTGATGTACATGTTCAGCAATATTTTATTTTAAAACTATTTTCTACAATGTCTATTTGTTATCGTTTCATACCGGTACATGTGCACATATGCACAAATCTTACATTGTGCTGCGTACATGTACCTGTGTTTTTCATACCAATATGCAATGCAATTAAGAATTTCAATATGACAGTACATTATATATAACAGGTTTGCCCTTACCCAACGTATATTAAT